TTATTGCGTGGACGGGGTGTGAGGGATGAGGTGCGGGAGATGTGGGAGACACGGTTGAGGGCGTTCTCGACCACCGAGGAGGGGAAGTTACGGTCCTTGAAAAACGAGGACAACTGAGACGTACGGGAGTGGAATGCCTCATCCTGGGAGCAGATGTGGTAGAGGCGAAGGAATTGGGAATAGGGGATAGCATTTTTGCAGGAAGGTGGGTGGGAGGAGGAGTATTCTAGGTAGCTGTGGGAGTCGGTGGGCTTGAAATGACCCCCGCCTCTTCGACCTGTTTGTTTCCTCTCCACCTATCCTCTCCTCTATCCCTCTTCTATCCGCCTCCCACTCTCTCCCTATTTATTTCAAAACCCCCTTCCCCTCCCCCTTTTCTGATGAAGGGTCTAGGCCCGAAACGTCAGCCTCTCTGCTCCTATGATGCTGCTTGGCCTGCTGTGTTCATCCAGCCCTGCACCTGGTTGTCTCGGATTCTCCAGCATCTGCAGTTCCTACTATCCCGGCTGGCTAAGGTGTTTTCAGTTAGTGGATTGCTTTCTGAGCTGAAGCAGCCCACACTGAGCTCGTCGTCCCCATTCAGGCAAGTGCGTGGTCCTTAGATAAGGAAAAGACACTGCAGAGGGAAAGGGAGGGAGGGTTTGAGTTACGAGGAGAGACTGGATAAGTTGGGATCTTTTCATTGTGGGAGGTTGAGCAGTAACTTATAGAGGTTTGTAAAATCATGAGAGGTATAAATACGGTGAATGGCAGGAGTTTTTTTTCCCTAGGGTGGGGGAATTTCAAGACTAGAGGTCATATTTTTAAGCTGAGAGGAGAACGACTTAAAAAAAAGACGGGGTCAATGTTTGTTTACACAGAGAGTGGTTTGTGTATGGAATGAACTTCCAGAGGATGTGGTGAATGTGGGTACAGTTACAACATGTAAAAGACATTTGGATAAGTACATGATTAAGAAATATTTAGATGGATATGGGCCAAGTGCAGGCAGGTAGGACAAGTTTAGTTTGGGATTATGGTCAGCATGGACTTGTTCAACTGAAAGTTCTGTTCCTATGTTTCTATGATAATGACTCTATAACATAAAATAACTGTCACATAAATGTACATCGCATAATATTTTATAATAACTTCTCGCTCAGGAATTAGACAAATACTTCTGAAATTCTTCCCTTAGACTTTCCTTCCTCAATTACATTTACCATTATGTTTCATAATTTCAATTGCAATGAACTTTTCCACACTAAATTGTCGATCTCTGTAACTTTGTGTCAACTATTTTAGACAAAAGAGAAATAATATTGCTTTATTTATGATGTTAACTATTATGACCTTCAGTCATCTTCTCCTCTTCCACATCCCAAACCAGAAGTAATGAGGAAAATGTTTTGAGTTCCCATTTCTGATGGGGAGTTTCACCTACTAAGACAGATATTAGGCAACCATGCAATTGACAGGCAAGATCTGCAATCTCAGAATATCAACATTTAAATGTTGCAGTTGTTATCATGTAATCAATATTAGCAAGCCACCTATGAAGGATGAGTAGAAAACCTAGTTTAGACATTTTTCAATTACTGCCAGGCAAGCTAAATTGTCCATGTACTGTCTGGCTTCGTGCTTATTATGAAATGGTAATTTATAATAATAACAACCAGCAAACGCAGGAAAAACGCAGCAGATCTGGCAGCATCTGTGGAGAAATGAAATAGAGATAATGTTTACAGTCTGGTATCTCTCTTTTATTCACATTCGCAATTTGATTTAAATACTTTAAATACAATAAGACAATTACTATTTTAAACTTATTGAATGTGGGGCTTCTTTTTGCTTTATTTCACATGTCATGGATGACTCAGTCTCACTTTTTGCGCATTTAGGAATTGCTAGCAGTATGACTGAGACAGGCTGCTCAACAGGTGGGGAGCAAGAAACAGGAATTGTATAACTAACAGTAGTTGATTTGATTTGATTTATTGTCATGTGTAACTAAGTACAGTGAAAAGTTTTGTTTGCAAACAGTACAGGCAGATCATGATAGGAATTCATGATGTCATCGCACTAACCTTCTGTGAATTGGTTTCCTGCAGAAAACATTATCTTTAGGATCATGTCAGCCAAAGGTTCAGCCAACAAATATCTCAGTTGATTTGAAGAGGATTGATATGCTTTTTATATCTGAATATCAACAAAAATAAAGCTGTCATGAATAATACATGAGAAAACAAATAAAGAGCATGTTCTCTTTTCATATAAATGAATCCCCAGTCTTGCAGCAGTCTACAATTTGTTGCATAAACGTTAGACAGCATGGGTTGAAGTTCTTCCCCATCACAGTCACAAAGTAGGAACGAAGGAAAACTTATCCTTTCATGGTTGTAAATGTATTGATTGACCCAGCAGATGCTACCTCTATAACTGAAGTTAAAATTTCTGTCTCTCTAGTCACCGCTCACCTTCGTTATCGTCATTATTATTTACATAAGTATAGAGAAATGCAAGGCATCTGCATCTACCTTTCAACATGAAGGTCTAACCTGTAGTCGCTGCCCTCCAGGACAACATATGGTACAGCATTGCACAAAAGACCATGATACGCAGTGTGCACCCTGTTCAGCTAGTCATTATACGCAGTATTGGAATTACTTGAAAAAATGTCAATACTGCAACATTTTCTGCAAAGAAAATCAAAATGTTAAGCATGAATGCAATGCAACTCACAACAGAGTGTGCGAGTGCAAAGATGGCTACTTCTGGGAATATGAATTTTGTACGAAGCAGAAAACATGTCTTCCTGGATATGGAGTTAAAACAGCAGGTACCTTTTTCGCAATTTGCATGTTTAAAGATATACCTTCATTTGCTAATTGGTCTGGTTGGTCTGTGCCAGTGTTTGTGCTCCACGAATATCCTCACACAATACATTACTCGAACACCACCTGCATATTTTTCTATTCTTTTCTTCTGTATGAATTCACCTTAAAGATGTCTATGCTATTTGCCTCATTCACTCCAAGTGGTAGAAATTTCCACATTCTAACCACTCTGTGGGTAAAGAACTCTCTCCTGAATATCATGATGTGGATGTGCCAGTGTTGGACTGGGGTGGACAAGGTCAGAAGTCATACGACATCAGGTTATAGTTCAACTGCTCTTTCGTTAGGTGAAATGAAGAAAAGCATTCGGGCACAGAATTTATAGGCAGAGCCTATGATTCCATATATTCTGCCTGGAACTTCTGTGCCTGTATACTTTTCTTCACTTCACCTGATGAAGAGGCAGCGGTCTGAAAGTGCATGATTTCAAACAAACCTGTTGTACTATAACCTGGTGTCATGTGACTTCTGAGCTTCCCCTGAATGTGCTGTTGGATTAATTGACCATGTACTAATACTTATGATTTCTCATTTCTCATCTTTACAATATTTAGTCTAACAAATCCCTTCATTATTTCAAGGCATCCATTCAGTCATCCGTCAACTTTCTCTTTCTGGGGAAAAGAGCCACAGCCTGTTCAGCCTTTACAGAAATTTAGAATATGCAGTTCTGACATTGTCTTTGTAAATCTATTTTGCATAATTTAAATTGCAAGCTTAGAACATGAGATCATCAACTATAGAAACTGACTTTCTTACTGTTTTATTAGATCTAAGTGCATAATAAAAATTTGAGTGTATTCATCTCCCAAAATAAGAACAAAAGTTCATTAGTTTTATTGAATTTGTAACTCTGGATTCATCCCAAGAGAAACTTTTTGTTCATTATGTCAACCATCTTTATGAGTTCTTTTAATTTTGTGTGTACTCACTTATCTTTCTTCATTCATCAGGCACTCCATACAGCAGTACAATTTGTAGGAAATGTGCACGGGGTTTCTTTTCATCAGTGACTTCTACCATTGCACAATGTAAGAGACACACAAACTGCACCGAATTGGGCTTAAAGTTGGATATCCCTGGTACTGCCTGGCATGACAATTTGTGTAGCCCATGTCAGCCCAGTGGCTCTGAAGGTATCTCAAAAGATTTTTTTTAAAAATCTGTGTAACTGCATGAATATTATGCAACAGTTCATTTGTACCTTTCCAGCCTAAGTAACAAGCTCTAAAATAACTTTGTATTTCTGTGCTAATAGAATTATGTAATCCAACACTGCAAAGTGCTTTTAACCATGCATTCAACATTGTAGAACATGGTAGTTCATTGGAAAGGTGGGGACAACTCATTGTTTCATTTAAATGAAATTATTGTAGAAACATACAGAATAGGAACAGGAGTAGGCCAATTGGTCCTTTAGACTGCTCCATGATTCAATATGATCATGGCTGATCATCCACCTCAGTACATTGTTCCTGCTTTCTTCCTTTAATCCTTTCAGCCCTAAGAACGATATCCATCTCCTTCTTGAAAGCATGCAGTGTTTTGGCTAAGTGCTTTTTGAGGCAGCGAATTCCATAGGATCACGTTCTCTGGGTGAAAACATTTCTCTTTATCTTAGTCCTAAATGGCCCACCGCTTCTGGACTTTCTGATCATCAGGAACATCCTTCCTGTGGTGTCCTGTCTAGTTCCGTTTGAATTATGTAAGTTTTTATGAGATTCCTCTCCCGCCATTGTTCTATGGTTCAGTAAATACAGTCCCGAGCAATCCAGTCTCTGTTCATAAATCAGTCCTGCTATCTCAGGTCTAGTTTCAACATATCACAGATGTTAGCACATCTCCACATTATATTACATAAAAGTGGAAAGAACCCACGCATCATCATGGTTTGCTAATCTTAATAAGTACAGGTAGAATGCACATTTGCTCTGAACACTAAGGTGTCCTTGCTCTTTCTGAAAACCACATCCTACACTACATAGTAACACTCAATGAACTAGATAACAAGCTAAATTGTTCACCATTATTTCTCATGCTAATACCTATTTGACTTTAGTTAAAAATGCCTTGAAAGATCAATTTGCATGTTTCTGTTTTGAGAAACTTCTATTTTCAATCAGAAGAATAGAATTACTGAGTTATTATATACTTTATGTTCTTCTGGCATGGAGGAATGTACTCCATTAGCAGTAGTTTGAAATGCAGTGAGCACAGGTACCCTCCTATTGATCTATATTTTTCAGGATGACAACAAAATCTTCTACTGTACTCAGAATTTTAGATCTGCCTATTGAATCTATTAAACCGCAATTATGCCTTCACTAATAGATACATGCTAATGCCAACCTTCAGTCTTAGAGAACAATCATCAGGATTTCTTGTGAGCATTAGTTTTGGTGAATCTATAAACACCTTGGAGAGATTTTCCTCTATTTTCAAGACAATTCTGAGTGGGGAGATCAGCATTTTGCCTGCATAAACTGAAAGCAGCAAGGGCCATGGAAATTAGCCCTCATGCCTCAACAACAAAATTCTAAGTGGCTGGTACTATTCACACCTCTGGAGGTAGCTTGTCTTAACAAGATCAATGTTTTATTGCCTGCCTGACTGGTAGAGGTCTTTGTGTGAGATTCAAGAGGAGGAGATTCAGTATTCCATTGTCAGATTCACTTTCTATAGGACCAATGCTCACTTTAACTCTTTTCCTTTTTTAATGTCTGTAGAAACTCCTACAATCTGCTTTTATATTTCTAGCTATTCTCCTCTAGCACTGTCACTTTCCCGACTTATGCATCTTTTAGTCACTTTTTTATATTCGATCGAATCTTCTGATTTGCCATTCATTTTTTTATAGTAATATGCTATTTCCTAAAGAATCTTCTTCTAATTTCTTCATTTTGAGGGATGTGGGTGTCGCTGGCTGGCCAGCATTTCTTGCCCATCCCTAGTTGCCCTTGAGAAGGTGGTGGTGAGCTGCTTTCTTGAACCGCTGCAGTCCCCCTGCTGTAGGTTGTACCACAATGCCATTAGGGAGGAAATTCCAGGATTTTGACCCCAAGACAGTGAAAGAATAGCAACATATTTCAGGCTGGTGAGTGGCTTGGAGAGGAACTTGGAGGTGGTGGTATTTCCATATACCTGCTGCCCTTGTCCTTCCAGATGGATGTGGTCGTGGGTTAGAGGGTGCTGTCTGAGGATTTTTGGTGAATTTCTGAAGTGCATCTTGTAGATAGTACACACTGCTGCTACTGAGGATCGGTGCTGGAGGGAGTGGATGCTTGTGGATGCTTTATCCTTGATGGTGTCAAGCTTCTTGAGTGTTGTTGGGGCTGCACTCATCCAGGCAAATGGGGAGTATTCCATCACACTCCTGACTTGTGCCTTGTGAATGTTAGACAGGCTTTCAGGAGGGAAGAGGTAAGTTACTTGCTGCAGTATTCCTAGCCTCTGACCTGCTCTTGTAGCCACTGTGTTTTTGTAGTCAGTCCAGTTGAGTTTCTGATCAACGGTAACTCCCAGGGTGTTGATAATGGGGGATTCAGTGATGGTAACACCATGGAATGTCAAGGGGTGGTGGTTAGATTGTCTCTATTGGTGATGGTCATAGCCTGGCATTTGTGTGGCACGAATGTCACTTGCCACTTGTCAGCCCAAGCCCGGATATTGTTGAGATCTTGTTGCGTTTAGACACGGACTGCTTCAGTGTCTGAAAGCTCGCGACTGGTACTGAACATTGTGCAATCATCGGCAAACATCCCCACTTCTGACCTTATGATGGAGGGAAGGCCATTGATGGAGCAGCTGAAGATGGTTGTGCCTAGAGGATCTGATGCTGCTTGGCCTGCTGTGTTCATCCAGCTCCACACCTTGTTATCCCATCTTCCTATGTGTCAGGTATGACTCTAACCACCAGAGAATTTGGCCCCGGATTCTCATTGATTCCAGTTTTGCCAGGGCTCCCTAATGCCACTCTCAGTCAAATGCAGCCTTGATGTCAAAGGTTGTCACTCTCATCCCATCTCTGGAATTCAGCTCTTTTATCCATGTTTGAACCAAGGCTGTAATGAGGTCAGGAGCTGAGTGTCCCTGGCGGAACCCAAACTAGGCATCACTGAGCAGGTTATTGCTGAGCAGATACTGCTTTTAGCACTGTTGATGGTACCTTCCATCACTTTACTGATGATCGGGAGTAGATTGATGGGGCAGTAATTGGCCAGGTTGGATTTGTCTTGCTTTTTGTCTACAGGACATACTTGGGCAATTTTCCACATTGCCGGGTAGATACCAGTGTTGTAACTG